AGACAAACATAATTAACATGCAGGGTGGCAGACTGCTCCTCTAAAATAAATCTAATCATGCAATCTATCTTTCAGGGAATATGGGGAAATCAGCTGGGGAGTAGTCATCTGAAATACCTTTGGGAAGGTGACACTATTTAAGGCTTGACACAAAATGTAAAATAAAAGCAAAACCTTTCCCAAAATCACAAAAAGAAAAAGACACGGATCTGTGAATGGCACCTGAGGCAGTTTTCCATTAGCACCTTATTGTGTGAGATGTTAGAAAGTTTGAAGGTTAAACGAATGAAAACACCTAAAGGGTTAACATTACAGGGTTAAACAAGATGGAAAGCATTTCCCATGCAAGAATGAGCAGGATAGTCAAACCTGTACTGGTCCCTTCTACTGTGGAAAGCACAAAACAAAAAGTAGAGGGTACACTATCAGATGAAGCAAACAGATGTGAAAATCAGTTTGATTTTTAAGCAGCTCAGTTTAAGAAGGCTCATCCTTACCCAGTATTAGCATTAGCACAATCTTTTATATATTCTCCATTTTTGTCGTGATATTATTCAATACACTGCATAAAACAGTTAAAATTTCTTTTCTCCCTTGGAATTTATTCCACCCACATTCTATTAGCAATCCCTCAAAGAGAATATAAAGGGAAAGGAAAAAATGAAAAATAAGAATAAAAGATCCCCAGATGCCAAGATATGAACCAGAATATACACCAAAGAGCACAAGTAATAAGCTTCTTAGCAAAGACCCTAGCTGATCTGACCCAAAATTATCTTCAATGGAAAGACTTACCTGTGGGAGGCTGTCCATAAGAAGTTGCATAGGCTGTCTGCCCATATGTTGCAGTGGTCTGAGCCTGGGTATAGCTGACATCAGTGGGCTGTCCATAGGTTCCATAACTTTGTTGCCCATATGCCTGCTCAAAGAAAACAGATGTAAATAGTACATATATGAACCTTGTATTTTAGTAAAAACCAGACTGGCTTATTTCTAAGTTTCTAAATTGGAGAACCAAAGTTGAAAATACTGCTTTCAAGTAAAAAGATTTTCTTATTTTTTAAAACCTTTGTTTTTCAATTACAGTTGACATCCAATATTATGTTACTTTTAGGCGTATAGCATAGTGGTTAGATATTTATATAACTTATGAATTGATCCCCCTGAATAGTCTAGTACCCACCTGGCACTATACATAATTATTACAGTATTACCGACTATATTCCCTATGCTGTCCTCCATACCCCCATGACTGTTTTGTAACTACAATTTTTACTTCTTAATCCTTTTTAACTCAGTCCCCCAACTCTCCTTTCCCATTGAGCAAGTATGTTTGTTCTCTGTATCTATGAGTTTGTTTCTGTTGTTTGTTCATTTACTTTGTTCTTTGGATTCCACTTATAAGAGAGATCATAAGGTATTTATCTTTCTCTGATTTATTTCACTTAGCATGGTACTCTCCAGGTTAATCTATGTTGCTGTATTAAATAAAAGATTAAAAAAAAAAAAAAAGACAAGTGGTCACAGTATTATGAATGCTTATTTTCTTTGATCTAATTCGCTCATTTTTTATTTTTATTTTTTGTAAACTTAAAAGTTCCTGAGATAATTAGGCAAAATCACAGTTAACAATACAGATTAACAAGACACTCTCAAGGGATGAGCAATAAGGGAACAGGTGTATAATTGCCAGCACTGTAACGGTTTTAGCAACTGGAAACAAATGTTAGGAAGACAAAATGAACAAAGAGAAAAGAAAATAAAAACAGCTAAAATCTGTCAGGCATTTCTGAAAACCAGTTTTCAGCAGTTTTTTTTTGATTTAAAAACTATCAATGAAAATGTACTAGAATATTGCATGTCTCCCTAAAGTTAGCATATCAACAGCACTGTCTTTTGAAATTGGACATCAGTTAATACATAAAACCTGGCAAGGAATAAGGTGTTCCTTCAGATATCAGCACAATCATATTCTAAATCTGAATGACCAGTTAAGTGAGCTCTGTCAAATATCACATTCTACCTGTTCTAGAATATGTTTCCATGGCAGTTATTAATATCCATTTTATGCCACAGATCATTTCAGAATTTGAGGTGATCTTGAGAACACTATGAGGCTAATTTCTAGAATCCATTGGCCTATGTTTTTAAACACAGACTCATGTACTGGAGAGTTCAGAAGCTTCATAGCTAGGTAGCAGTAAGAGCTGACCGCACCCTTCCTGTGTGACCATGGGCAAATGCTATAACATCTATGCACTTCAATTTTTTCATTTGTAAAATGTCATATCACCTTCCTCTGCAGAACTGTTGTATAAGTTAAAGAAATTTAAACATATTAAAAAACACCGAAGGACCAAATATGGAGCAGGATACCTAACTTGAGAGATGATACTAGAAAGGTATGGAAAGTTAGCAAATCCCATCCAAAGGGATGGTTTCATTTTCAATGGTATTCCCACTATGAAAGTTTAAAATGTCTGTTTATTTTAATTACAAAAACATTATACCTTTCTATTACCTAATTTTTGAAAAAAATCTGTGCTAGCTATTGTTTTAATGGCTGATAAAAACATTTTACTTGGTTATGCAGCTACATATAATTATCTTAAAGATTACCTGGGTGGTCTGTGCATATCCTTGAGTGGGCTGGGCGGTGTAAGCACTGTAGCTGTAAGAGAAATTAAATGCAAAAACTGAATACAGAACATTCAGATTCCATTACCAAATCCTCTACAACTATAGCAGGTTCTGTATCCAACAACATTAATCAATCACACACACACAATTATTGTAAAAGATGGACTTACCCCTGCTGGGCTGCAGCTTGGCTGTAGGTACTGTAATCTAGAGGAACAGGAGAGAAAGATAGTGTAAAGTCAGCAAAGACAAGGAGAGGGGGTAAAAAGGAAGGAATTCAAGTGGCAGTAAGTCCTTAAACTGTTTAGAGAGGATCTACAGGACAATACAGGTCCAAATGAGTACTTATTTCTTGACATTAAACCAAAAAAATAAGTCTAAACCAGTTAAACTCAGAAAGTTTGAATACAGTGCCAACTAATGAGGTCAAGATCAGCTGATCTGGCAGAGAGACTTTGCATGCTCCTATGACCAAAACCACAGGCTGTCATTTCAAATACACGATCATCATCCTAACAAAGAACAAATCAACAGGATCAGCAGTTTTATTTCATACAAAAAGGTAGCAAGCAACAATATTTACAATGTTTAACATCAGACTTGTTACATTAGTAGCTCTATTATTAAAAACTAGTTTTTCTATTGCTCTCTCATTTTAGCAAGTTAGATCAACCTTAATTCTCTAGCAGGACTAAGAAACGGAAAGGCAGAAAACAAAAGAACAGTCATCTCATTCCAGTATTTTAAAGGGTTTGCTGACTGTAGCAGGGCTACATTTGTGCAATAACTCAAAAGCTAAAATGTTATAAATCCCAGTGAAACTGAGTTAAGTCAGAATTGTGATAAATGGCAGAGAACGCATTTCGTCTTTTGGGGGAAGAATTTGATTTTAGGTAACACCATCTTTTTAAAATTCAAAATGATTTCAACTTTTAAAAAATGCCACAATTTTTTTCCGCTGTTCTTTTTCTAAGTAAAACTTCCCATAATATTCCTTTTCGTAAGAAATTTACAACATTCACAAAGACTAAAAATTCTGGTCCAGTAAGGTATCTACAAGTAGTGAAACAAACAGAAAATAAAATGGTTAAGAAATTTTTACAGCACTATTGAATTAAACATATATATGTATTTTAATTATTTTTAAAAATTCTTCCCAAGTCTTTGCTCTCCACAAGAAATACATATCTTATTTTACATTAGAAGACAACATCACCATTAGGGCCAAAGGGGTCCTTTCTATTCCATTCAGAAAGTAGTCCCTCATCAGTTTGACATCTCAGCTCTTCATGGAGGTGGCGTTTCTAGCCCTACTCGAGCATGCCTCAGTTTGCCTGATCTAAGCATTTATTGCTGAATCCATCTAAGTTGGCTCATCTTTCTATCTCTACATGACTTTCTTCTGCACACCCTTAACTCAGAACCCTGAATCAATATTACCAAATGCACAACAGATATGAATTGATTTGTCCAAGACAACCTTATGGCATTGGAAGGTTAAACCTTAAAGCACTTTCAATAGCACTACAATCTATGCTCTATGTGGCAAATAAAAAGTAAATGGAAATCACTTCTTCCAAGTGGTATTAAAAAAACAAAACAAACAACACCAATGAAGCATCAAAAATTAAATATTTTAACCAACATTTTGCTGAGGTTTCTGAGAGAAATGATTCTAAATCCCTGACATCTAAGTTCAATGCTTGCAAGGTGTTTTATAAAAGAAAGTTTCTATAAAACATAAAATTGGCCTAGGTGATACAGAACAACCAATGTTCTCAGATCAGTGTGAAACCAGATGCTTTTAGCCCCACACTGGTGGGCTAAGGGAGGTGGCAAATTTGTTTCACGATAACTTACCTACTTACAGCACACAAACATATGGCCTCAAAAATGCTACAGTCACACACTGGTCAGATTTAGCAATCAGTTGTTTTGTTTTTTAACCCTCAAATATGCAGCTGAAAATTTCACTAAAAATA